CCTCCTTGAAGAGTGATGGGATCCACTCTTTCAAGAAGCTGAGACTGCGGCAAACATCTGTGCATGAGCCTTTTTTGGGAGAGTTCAGCACTGGGGGTGGGAAACCTTGGGGGGGTTTGCATACCTAAGAGGAGCGGGACCCTTACTGGGAACCCACATGTGTCAAGTGAGGTGGCGGGGGTAGGACTTCTCATTGTATCCGTTGTTGGCCTTGGTTTTGGGTTGCTTTAGGGTCATCTCCCCCAACCTGGTGCCCTCCAGTCATTGGCTGCGGGGTTATGGGAGTTGTGTTCTGGCACACCTGCAGGGTACTGGGTTGGTGGAGGTTGTTTTGCGGGATGACTTATGGAAACGAAGCCAGTTGGAATTGGGTGAAGTGGGCTTGCCTCGTTGCACAGCAGAAGGATGGTCGTGTCCTCCTTCCTCCATTATCTGGGTCCCCTGCCATGGATTTCTGCACCATCAAGTGACCTTTGAAAGCAACATTCTTTTACTGTTTTCTCCGCTCCCTTCCTGTCCCACACTTGCTAAGATGATATCCGGATGGAAGAAACCTTACCTGCAGATTATGCTTGCCCTTTTCCCCCTCCCCCTCCTGGTCTTGAGAGATGCAGCCTGTTTTCTCTGAGGGACCCTTTTGCTGCTGCTTTGTTAGCCGTGAGATTCTGATGCTCTGGGTGTAACCAGCCGAGTTGAAGAGACTTTGCCCATTCACTGATGGAGGACCTAAAGGAGGAAGGGACCCTTCTGTTTTCACGCCCAGGCCTGCTGCAAAAGAACCAAGGCAGAGCTTGTGACAGCAGGCGGGGTTTCTCTCTCTCTCTCTCTCTGTGCTTCTGGTGTTTCAAAAAGCGCTCAGTCTCCCACTCGTTTTCCCCTTCCTCTTCTGCTGAGGGTCTGGCCCTCGGCCACTGCAAGCACAGCTCTTCCAAGATGCACTTTTTGCTCTGGAAGAGAGAGAGGTGGGGTGGAGGGCACATTGGAATGACACTTGTCAGCAAGTCTTTGATGGAACGACTCTCTCTTGGGGTAAAGATGTGTTCTGTTGCCTTTGTCCTTTTTTTAAAAAAAAAATAAGTGAATGCTGTTGGTTCTTTGATGCTATTTTAAATAAAGAAACACTGTCTGGAAATCCTTAGCCACGTGGTGTCCCCTTATATCTGATGAGGTGGTGAGCGGACTGCCTTGCCTTGGCAGTACGAGGGCTGGCCTTGTTCCATTGAAATCCGAAAGGAGAAGAGCCTAGCCTCCAGAATGGAGCCTGCTTCCTTTAGGATTTCCCCATTCTTGCTGCTGACGAGTTTTGCCTTGGGGGAGAGGGGCCCGATGCTGGGTCTTAACCTTGGAGATGCACCCTTTCCTCAAATGTGCCTGCTAAATGGGTGGAGATGCCACTGTGTGGTGACAGTTTCAGTCACGCTGGCCCTGTGTGACGTGTCTGCACTCCCCAAGCCCCAAATGCTGAGAAAGATCATGCCGGGGCTCTCATGCATGGGGCCGAATGGCACCTGCTGCTTTATCATGAGCCAGCTTTCAAATCCCTGGTGCCTCTTCTTTCCTACTCATTCCACAAGTTGTGGCATTTTGCGATAAAAGGTTTTGTCACTAGAGGACTCTCTCTCCCTGAGGAAGGCCACCACTGCTGCCGTGGTGGTTGCTCCAACTTCAGACAAAAGCACCAAAAAAGCCCTGTGTGTAATACAGGGATGCTGACACACAGCTGCCATCCTGGATGTTGGTGCACAAACCTGTCAAGAAAGTCTTACGCTGGGACCTCTCTTAGCACATGGTCAGGAAAAGTCAGGGCAAGTCAAAATTACATGCAGTCGCTTAGATACCTAGTGTGGTGTAGACTCTACACCACGCTAGGTATCTAAGCTACTGCATGTAGAGGATAGAGTGATGGACTGGGACTCGGGAGGCCCGGGTTCAAATCCCTGCTCAGCCGCAGAACCTCACTGGGGATGTGGGACTGGTAAAGTCACTCCTTAAATATCTCTTTAAATATTATTTTGAAAGCCCTGTTGGGGTGCTGGAAGTCTGTTCCAACTTGACAGCATGCAAAAACGACAGCTTAGAGACGGCCAGTCTGGTTCAGAGAGGGAGGGGAGTTTTGTCCTGGGACTTGGGAGGGAAAAGTTATCGCTAGAGTTGGGCATGGACAGCTGGTTTGGTGGTTCGTGCCACTTTGTTTAGTGGCCAAACAGGTGTTTGAGGCTTTGCAGCCCTGCCTCCTCCAGCAGGCTCCCACTCAGAGGCAGCGCCTGCTGGAGGAGGCGGGGCTGCCAAGCCCCAAACACCTGTTTGGCTGATAACTGGCACCAACCGATGAAATGGCAGTCCGTGCCCATCTGTAGTTACACCCCTCACTGAGCCCCTTTTTGTGAGGGGCTGTGACATCTGCCTAGGAGATGGTAGGCTTCGGTATTCTATATGTTTTCTTTTCCTTCCCTCCCCAGAGCAGGAGGGAGGGAGGACTCTGTGCCTGCCTCTTCTTCTGCAGAGAGCCAGGTAGGACCAAGGAGGGAAGGCTGGCCACCGAGAGCAGGTGTGCCACCTTCTGTGCCGGGGCGGATCCACTCCCAGGCAACGGAGCTGCCGTACTGCTTGTCACCAGCCCGCCGGCAAACATAATCGGAAGCTGATTCCTTTCCCAGGTCTGTTTGTGCAGGTGCTTCTGCTGCCTCCGCATCAAAGACCAGGCTGTTCTTGAAATGCCAGCGGAAGCTGCTAATGAGCTATTTGATTAGTTAATTAATTGGCTAACAAGGAGGGCTTGGATGAAAGCTGCGAAACCGGAAGGCAGGAGCCCTCTAGCGCCGCCGTGGGCTGTGCATCAATGCCCGTGGCTCACCTACTCCCCAGGAGAAAGTCACAGACCACGGCTTGGGTGCCTCTTGCTGAGGGAGGATGCTGGCCTTTAAGCCGCAGAGACCTGGGTTTAGAATTTGGGATTGGTCCTGGGGGAGCATCCCTGAGGGGCAGAGCCCCATTTTCTTGCCCTGGTAAGCTTTTTAGCCTGGAAGCTTCTCCCTTCTCTGAAATGGCCTGAACCTTGCCAATCCTTTCTGCTCCTGCAAAAGGATTTTGGAGCAGACCTGATGGCGTGAAACCCCAACAATTCTGCACACCGCCTTGCTCTTATGAACGCATTTCCATGGCAAGGGATCCGGTCCTCCTTTTGAACTACTACAGGCAAAATTTACGGCACTCAAGCTTCGGGCCGTGCTATAAATGTGCATGGTCCATAAATGTACTTATTATTTTATTTATTTGTTAGATTTATACATTTCCCCATTAGTGCAACGCACTGTGTATGCAGAAAGCAAAGCAGAAGGGATAGACAAAGTACCAGCAGGTGGAGACAGGCAGGAACGGACCGAGGGAGGAAGATGTTAAGGGGTGAATTTTTGCAAACGAGAAGAGCCAAGTGGGGCCCGAAAGAGGGAAGAGGTGCTGGAAGCGTTTCTGCAGATTTCTGACTGAAGAGAAGTGTTTTCCTTAACCCATCCAGCCAAGTTTCTGATCAAAGAGCCTTGGCCGAGGTTGCACAGTGACGTGAGGGGTGGAATGTGCTCCAAAGGGACTCGCTCAGGCAGCAGGCGCCTCCCCTCCTGTCCATCCAAGCTGCCCAGCCGGGCTCCTGGAGGTCAGCTGCAAGGAAGGAGGAGGCCCTGCTCCGTCTTCTACGAGAGGAGGAAGAGGAAGAGGAAGAGGCCGAAGGCCATCGTGGCAGGTGGCAGTCCAGGATGGCTCCCACCGTTGGGATACCCATAGTTGGTTCGGCATGCTCCTTCCACCTGCTTAAGCTCGATGGGCGTGTCATCGGGGGCAACGGCTGCCTGGGCATCCCGCACCTAGGACCCAAGAGTGACCCTTGTCGGTCTAGCGAGTCTGAGGCAGGGGCACGGAAAGAAGCCTCCCCTGCCCACCAGGAGTCACCCCACGGCGTAAGGTGCTGCTAGGGCAGAGGGTGGAAGGGGAGGCCGCCAAGGGGATGGGCCGCCTCCTCCACCCTGATGGCCCGATTCAGTGCTTGGGGCTCACGTCCCGTTCGTCACTTGAGGATGGAGCCAGGCTGTGGCCCTTCTGGGGGGGAAAGGCCCTCGGCTTCCACAGCAGCGCTCCCCGCTTCCTCCCTCCGACCCACTGGAGGTTAGAACGCTTCTTGGCCTGAGGGGTCCCCACCTGCTCCACTTTCTCCAGGACCCTCAGCAGGTTGTTGGCCAAGGCTCCCTTCACCTCTCCCTCCGTCCAGTTCCTCCTCAGCAGCTCTGCAACCAAGGCGGGGTATCCAGAGACATCTTCCAAGCCCACGGGTAACCTGCATGGAGCGACAGAGTGACGGGGCAAAGGGAAGAGATGGCAGGGTTGAGGTCCCCCCCCAAGGAAAACCCTTTTGGCCTCAATGGGAGGGTGCATAATGGGCCCAAGGGCTTCTGGAGAGAATTTGAACCAGAGTCTTCTGAGTTCTTGTCTTGACGGGCTTTGTGGCCACCGTGGTTTTATTTATTTATTTATTTATTGCATTTATATGCCGCCCATCTAGACATAGTCTACTCTATGGTTGAACTGTAGAACTGCAATAAAGACTCTGCTCTGACCAGTTCACTTAGCCGGCTCAAAGTTGACTCCGTCTTCCATCCTTCCAAGGTTGGCAAATTAAGGACCCAGCTTGCTGGATGGGGGGGGGAGCAATGTGTAGCCTGCATCCTGCATAAGTGAATTGTAAAGGGCCCAGAGAGTGCTTTAAGGGTTACGGGGAGGTATATGAGCAGCACATTCTGCTTTGCTTTTCTGCTTTGTCCACCATGCAAACCTGCACGCTAGCTCTGCCATGGGGTGAGGATTCTCTCAGGTGGTTACCTTAACTCTCTTTCCGGTCCTGTTAACCCTGAGGGTGACAATTGAGTAGTAGCTGCTCTGTTGAGCCTTGAACCAGAAAGGAGATATTTGGACTGACCCGGTCTAGGTCTCCCTGACAGCTTCCCACAGCTTTTCTTTGCACCATACACCACAATCCCCCCCGCCCCCCGCCAGCATCTTCCGTCTGGTACCTGGTCACACCGTCATAGTCGCCTCCAAAACCAACGGCTTCTGCCCCAGCAATGCGCTTTACATGGTCCAGGTGGTCTGTCAGCCAGGGGAGACGAGGAGAAGGTCAGCCCCTCTTTTTTTGCCTCCTCTGACCCCTTCTTCCTCTCACCCTCCCCACCTGCCTTGGCCTGACTCACCTGCCACATCGGTCAGGCTGGCTTTAGAGGCACACGTGACGTAGTCCGTGTAGAAGTTCACCATCACAAGGCTCCCCGTTTGCTTCTATAGAAGAGTTGAATCATAAAAGGGTTGAGTTGGAAGAAGCCTTCAAAGTCACCACCACGTCCAACTCATTGAAAGAAACAAACAACACATATTAAAGGATGATTTCAGATACTTTTAGGAGCATGTTGGCAAAAGTCTACTAAATTTCATGACGTTCCCATGAATGTTAATTTATGCACGCGTACATGGAATTTCATAAGCCACAGGAGTGCCTTGCGGCCAATTAATAAGATGCTGGTCATATTCTTGGTTCCACGCCTGGCCCTGCCCTGGCCCCACTTACCACTCGGAGGAGGACATCATCGGGGACGTTGCGCCGATGTGCGCACACTGCATAGGCAGAGGAGTGGCTGAACACTACTGGTGCCTCCGAGACATCCAGAGCATCATTCATCGTATCCACAGAGACGTGAGCCAGATCCACCATCATGCCCAGGCGGTTCATCTCCTTGACCACACGCTGTGAGAGGCAGATATATCGGGGGTGTTGGCGGGGTGTTGGTGTGTCACCTCCTTGAGTAGAAAGGGCTCTTTGCTTCCATGTTTCCTTCAGTTTTACAGTCTGGGATTTACCAATTTATAGTTCAAGCCTTGTTCTCATCAGCAGTGCAATCCTACAAAAGTTTACTTAGAAGTAAGTCCCTCTAAATTTAAGGGATTTTGTTCCAGCAGTTGCCTGTAGGATTATAATCATACTCTCTTTCCGACCCCAGCATTGACTGGCTTTTTGGGTGGCATTCATTGACTAGCGGTCACTTTTTAGGAACAAGGGTCACCATCTCGTTCTTCCTATGCCTAATTAATCCAGCTTGAAAAGGGCTCATTAAACCATGGCAGATGCTCCACTACCAGTCATTTCAACCTGAGCAGAAGGATCTTTTGAACCTCTCCTGTGTTATTCTTGGAAAGTTGACCACTGTATTATTCTGAACACATCTGATCTTACTTGATTTCAGAAATCAAGCAAGGCTGGTTAGCATTTTATGGTGACTACCAGGGAGACCTTCAGTCACAGATGGGAAGAACCTTGTCTGAAACCCTGAAGAGGCTGGTCAGAAATGGTGACAAAGGTTCAGAATGGGACCCATGGCCTAAGCAGAGGGCATGGCGGTTTTCCTATGTTTCTATATACACACACACACACACACACAACCAGAGGGCATGGCGGTTTTCCTGTGTTTCTCCACACACACACACACCCACTTCCTCTCTGGACGGTAACAGAACTGCCTCTCTCTTTTGCCTTTTCCAAACTCCCCAGAGAGTTCCCACTCACCTTCCCAAATTCACTCAGGCCATTGTGAATGGGCTTTTCTGTTGCCGTGTCAACTATCCAGTTATCAGCCCTGCGGAGAAAAGCACCACATGCATCAGGTGAGCGACCGAAGGGCCCTGCAGGTTTTTGCCTCCCTGTTCCATGGAACAAAGCTTGGGGATGATGCTAATATAATGCCTGCTACCCAGTGTGAAAACATGAAATGGTTTCAGTGAGTTAATTGAACAGTATTTATACAAAATAGTCCATTAAGTTTTAATAGATCTGTAACAAATTACATTAAAGATATCATTTAAAAATACTAAAAAGGACTAATGACCAATTAAAATCAATAGGTATTTGTTAATTGATATTTGGTTTGTTGATTGTTAAAATTATTAACCAGCATTGAAAAACAAGTGCCGTTGCTCTGTGAACACCCAGAATAAGAAATGTCAAATTCAGTACCAACAATTTTAATGGGTTATTTCCAGTCATGATTTCCAAGCGTTGTTTCCAATATTCTAGAAGCAAGCTAATGAGAACTAAGAACTAAACAATGACTGTTGCTGTTGAATGGGTGAAATAACAAATTTCAAAATCCAGTGTTCATAGTTCTGATCATTCTGTTATGCCCCAAAACCGTTACCCGAAATAATGAGTCTGTACTGGCAGGATTAACCGCAACCCCTGTCCTGTTGCTTAAACCACAAGTGTCTTCCTGGTGCTTGACACAGTTCGGAGACAGGATTGAACGTGTATGTGCAATTTCACTCTCTTCTTTACATCAGCCCCTCCTGTGATTCTATTCGTTTTTAATGTCCCATGATTTCCTGCAGAGTTCCACGGCGCACCATAATATAAAGAAGTCACACAAAGATACCAAATATCTTCAGATACAAAAATGGAGCTTCCCTTCCAGTAATTTTAACAAGGGGCAGAATCAATGGATTTGTAATGAATTATTGCTGAATTTGAGTCATGGAGCAAGGAGTTTCCTGTGCATTTCTGGAGGGCAAGAAGACCCCTGGATGTCTCCAGGCAGCCTCCCATATTCTGCTCCCATCTTGCCTTGATAATTGTGGATGTGTCCCCTTCTCCAATGAGGGTAATTAGATTCTTCCCTTTAACGCAGGATGATGACATCTCAATTGAGTGGAAGAGAGGCCAGCGCACACAGTTCCTCACATACAAGCTTCACATGTGAGGGGAATGCAACCAGCCGATTCTTAATGCCTCAGGGCTTAACCCTGACACTGGAGGCACAATCTGGGAAGGAGCTCTGGTGAGGAACAGCACAAACCGAGCGCTTACCAAGGAGTGTTGCAGCTGTGCGTCAGGGTCATGTAGCGCACGCCCAGCTGGTAGAAGGTGCGCAGGACGGCCAGGCTGCTGTCCAGAGAGTGCCCGCCCTCCACGCCAATGAGGCTGGCTACCCGCCCAGCGCGGAAGGCGTCCTTAATACCTGTGTGGGGGGGGAAGCATCTCTCATGAGTTCCTACCAGGAAGGCGCGCAGAAAAGTGATACAACTCCCCCCAGCCCCACTAGCTGGGGGTGTGTGGTGTGTGTGTGTTTCTGTCATTCAAAGGGACCCAGGGAACATGTCTCTTTATCAAAGTTATTGCTGGATCCAGTTCACGATGCACAGAGGGATTCTTCTCCTGGGGGTGGCAATCCTAGCCTCCTAGAGTTCTGGACTTGGAAGGGGCCTCGTTGAGTCCCACCCCTTGCTCTAGGCAGGAATCCAAGTCAAAGCAGATCCAACAGAGGGTTGTCCAGTTTTCCCTTCAACGCCTCCAGCATTGGAGCGCACACAACCCCCCCCCCCAAGTCATGGGTTCCGTTGTCGTACTGCTCTAACAGTTAGGAAAGTTTTTCCTGATATTCCTCTGAAATCTGGCTTCCTGTCGCTTGAGCCCATCATGGCGTGCCCTGCACTCTGGGACGATTGTGAACAGATCCTGCCCCGCCTTTCAAGTATTGGAAAAGCGCTCTCGTCTCTCCGCTCTGCCTTCTTTTCTCCAGGCTAAACATGCCCAGTTCTTTCAGTCTGTTCTCCTAGGGCTTGCTTTCCAGCCTCCTAACCATCCTTGTTTCCCCCGCACCCCGAACTTGTTCCTGTTTGTCAGCATCCTTCTTGAAGGGCCCTGTCCAGAACTGAACATAGTACTCACGAGGAGGCCTGAACGGAGCAGAGCCTGTACCTCGCAGGATTTGGCTTTGGATTCAGTGTGGCTTTCCCAGCTCTGCAGACCTCTCTTACCTGCGCTGTCAGTGACGCACTGGAAGGTGTCCGGGTAGAGGAGGCACATTCGGTGGATGACGTCGATCTGCTCCAGGGTCCGCCTGACGGCATCTTGACCCTGTGTCTCGCAGGGCACGTAGGCGGCCCAGAACTGAGTGAGGAGAGAGGGAAGCAAACCAGAAGCCTCTCAGATCAAGACCAGAAAGACCCAGGCCTTTTCTCGGCTGCTGAAGCCCTAAAGCTGCAGAATTGGCAAACTGCAGGGACCCCCGTGCGTGCGATACCAGCAGAGAGGATGGAGGGGGTGGGGTGGGGGAAGGGAGGCTAATTTGTGCAGAGGGGAGAACCAAGATTGTGGCTTTCCTCCCTCTTCCCCTTCCCCCCCATAAAGTTTGGCATGGAAAGTAGAGACAGAAAAAGCTGTGTGGTTCTTGTGGGACCGAAGTGGGTGTGCCGTGGAGTTTCAAGTAACACCCTCCTCCCTCCTCTGATCAGGTCATTCTCTGTCCATGGCACACTGGATGGAAAACAGCAGAAGGTTTTAATTTTATTTTGTGAACGGGAAGCCTTTGTTGGAAAACGAGCCTCTCAGGTTTGGAAGCTTGTGAAACATCTGCAATGAACTAAAAGCTTCCAGGAAAATGTGCATTTCACCCCTACGGGTGTTCCTTTGTACACCCAGCTCCTGTTTTTTTTAAAAAACCCCGTTCCTCACCTGGGCTCCGACGTGTCCGAGGCGTAGTTTGGGGATGTTGGTGTGGGTGCCTTGCAGCTGAGTCAGGTTGGCTTTCTCCAAAGAGAGCTGGTTGTTGAATTTGCTCAGCAGCTGCCACGGCAGGTCGTTGTGCCTGGAGAGGGAGAGAGGATAAAACTCCATAAGGTGGGTCCACTTCCTCTGAGATGGCAGGGGTGGAGGCCTCTGGCTGGGGAGCCAGAGGTTGGGAGTTCGATTCCCCCACGGGGCCTCCCTGAGAGGGGCTGGACTGGATGACCCCACAGGGTCCCTTCCAGCTCTGCCGTTCTACAAGGATGGTGATGGTTGGTTAGCTCTGTCAGGTGCAAGGGGGGGGGGATACAGATCTTATGCCCACTGCCTTTTAGAAATGGGTTTGTTTGTTTGTTTGTTTTCCAAAAGTTATGGATAGCAAAAAGGAGAAGGAAGAAGAGGAGGGAAAATCCAAGCCAAAAAAAAAGAGCAAGGAAAAAAAATCCAGAGGTGCAACAATAAAAGACTGTCTGTTTAATCACCAATAAGAAGCCAGTGAACGTCCAGATAAATGTCTGCTGTTGATGGCCACACGTGGCACATTCACAGGTTGAAAGAAATCCCCGTGAGACCCTTGCTCTGATTAATAACAGGAAGCGAGCTCTCTCTGGTGTTGCATTAGGAGGTTTTTTTTGGGGGGGGCAAAGGCATTCACACATGATGTGCACAAAGAGCTACTGCAGAAGACCAGAGGCTCTAGCAAATGTAAAGCGTGCCTCTGGATTTATAGCCCTTTGTGGCAGGGTTTTGTTACAAATCTTTCAAAAGCCTGTAAGTGCCAGATCTAACTCTGACTGAAAGCCAGATGTTTCTTGCCTGAGAAATGTGTGAGGAACATGCAGCCCCTCCAGAGCGTGTGGAAATTCAACTCCCATAGGCCTTTGTGGGCGCCGCCAGACTGCTCTGGACCGGGACACACACGCGTGTGGTCTTTCTCTGCAACGCAAACTGCAGAAGAGAGCGGACCCGCCTGTTGTATCGTCACTATCCTGTCGTCCTTCCTGTGTGTGCCTGCCCTGAAGGAAGAAGATACAGCAGCCCCCTGCAACTGCAATTCCCATCAACCCAAACCAGCACAGCATTGGCTGGGGATGATGGGGGTTGTAGCCCAGCCCTTTTTAGAGGGCACCGGGTAGGTCTTGCTCCACTCATCAAGGTGAAGAAGAGGGGGCCACAGCCCGGACTGCTGCTCATTCCCATCCCTGTAATTGTAAACGTCCTGCAGCAAGTTTTCATTGTTGGATGAAAGCATGAGTGTTTGGGTAATTGTTTGTCTCCTAATTCAAAAACTCAAGGGACAAATAAAAAAAGAAGCACAGCTGCCGATTAACATTCCTGAGGCTCCCTGGATTTCTTCCTCAGAGGCAGCCATAGCCAAGCGTAGACATGGTCTAGAGGGGCGGGGTACCGCCATAGCCAAGCGTCCTGTCTGAGCGGTTCGTTGGTCCTTGGTTTCGTACAGAGGAGATGGCGAACGAGTGGGGCGCAGGGGTGGCGGTGCAAGGTTTGAAGTTAGTGTGCAAAGCTATTGGCTGCCCAGTTGCAGGATGTTTAGCTCTGGAGCGCCTGGGTCCCTCTCCCATAAAACCAGAGGAGAGTCCTGCCGGGCTAAAGTCTCTCGTTTTTATGACTCCTGCAAACATAAACACTGCAATGTCTTTTATCCTCATTTATTCCTCTGCTCTTTTACCCGGGAATGCCTTGAGGGCTTTCCTGGCTGCTGCAATTGCCATTTTATTGTCTAATTGCTTGCCTGAGGGTGGCTCACTGCATTTTTTTAAAAAGTTCCTTGAGAAAAATCCCATCCAGTCCAGTGGCATTCCCAGTTCAATGCGGATGGCCGAGGGGAACAAACAACCCTATCTCCCTGCTTCTGGTACTGTATTAGTCTTGATGCAAAGTTCAGGACATTTTGCTTTTGGGACTACAGGTCCAGGAATCCACCGCCAACCATGCTGGATGGGGGATTTTGGGTGCTGTAGTCCAGAAGAAATGTTCTCTTCTCTGGAGACAGGAGCAGGGATCCCAATGGGATCAGATCCCCGTTGTTCCTTTTTCGCTGGGAGAACCTCGTCCAGTTTGTGCTAGCGCTGTCTGGGTTGCCTTCAGACCCTGCCCTGTACACAAGGTCCAGATTGCTCCGGCCTAAATGCCCACACCATCACCCGGACCATGTCTTTAAAGCACCCACCTGGATTCTTTCCAGAGGGAAAAGACACTCAGGTCATGAAGCTCCATTAACCGACCCTAATATACTCTTTAATAATATGTTCTCAGTCCAAGAAATCTCAAATCCTAAGGCAGCATGCAAAGCGCCCCCTCCCAGGGAGCCCTGGCCCTCGCTCAAGGCAAGCTGGCCGGCCGCTGACTTTTCTCCTCCTAGGGTCTCCCAGCAGGATGACAGGCAGGTCAATCACCCTGCCTTTGCTAATGATTACTGAAGCCATTGTTTCCTTGATAAGAAAGCCCTGAGTGCCTGCGGGTGGTTGGTTGGTTGGTTAATAATCTGCAGATCCCTTCCAGGCTTGGCGGTTTCAGAATCTCCTGGAACTAAAGGTTTGGGTGTGGATTTCCTGCTCGGGAAGAGGACTTGGCCAGTTGATCCTTAGGCTCTTTTTTAGGTCACACATGTTGGGAAATTCTGCAAAATGTGGGCCTCAGAAACACGACTGCTTGACTTTCGTTCCAAAAGGGCACCATTGCTTTGCGTACAGATGGTGAAATTACGACTCCCTAGTTCTTTCATTTCTCATTCTCTCCCTCACCATGCCCGACACACAACTTACATTTCTCACCACCGCTTGACACCGAGTCGACAGTCTCTCTGACTCTGCCATCCTGCCCCCCCCAGGTCTCTTTCTTGGTCCGTCACCCCTTAGTTTCAGATCCATCATAGCCACAGATCCTACATTACAGAGATCTCTCCTCTATTTGATAATCTCTTTTTGACAGGCCAGATTTTTGCCAAATAGACCAGATTTTAAACAAAAGGATTGGCATCTCCATTAATGGTGAGTTCTAGTCTATTTCTGTTCAAATTATCTAGTTATTTCTGCACATGCATCTATATGTGCATGTAGACATTCTATTTTTGTAAATATAGCACTTTTTGGCCCTTCTTATTATCTAGTTATTTCTGCATATCCATCTACAGTATATGTGCATGTAGACATTCTATTTTTCTTTGTAAATATAGCACTTTTTGGCCCTTCTCTAGGGCATTTTCTTTCTATCTTTCTTTTGTTCTTCCTTCCTTCTTTCCTTCTTTCCTTATATTCAAAGATTCAGTGGCTAAAAGCATGCAGAGAAAGCTTTCTTTCTTGTCATTGAAAGACCTGCCTGCTTTCTGTCCTTCAGCCATAGTACCAGCTCCTGAGAGAAACCATAAAGAATTTTGAGTGGATAAACACACTTCTTTGTAGTGGTTGTGTCTTTGGGTGGAGTACAAAACTGTTGCTAATTTAAAACTGTTGGTTACAGTTCTACGTGGCCAACATTCCTCCTAATCAACAGCTTAAAACGAAACAGACAATAGGAAGTACCGTATTTTTCCATGTATAAAACAACACTGTTTCCTAAAACAATTAGAGACAAAACTGAGGGTCGTTTTATACACAGAAGGCAGCATAGGAAGCAGAGCCATGGGGCTTCGCAAAAGGCAGGGGAAAGTGGTGATCACTTTGACAGCCGCTTTTCCTTGCCTTTTGCAAATTGGCGCTTCTCCCTTCCTTTTTGCTAAGCCCCGTGGCTTTGCCAAAGGTAGGGAGAAGCAGCAATCAAAGGGAGCCCTGCTTTTCCCTTCCTTTTGCTAAGCCATTGAGCTTAGCAAAAGCTCCGTGGCTTTTGCTAAGCTCCACATTTTCTAATTTGGAGTTAGTCACCTTATGCATTGGATCGTCTTATAAATGGAAAAATACGGTAGTTGATTTCACTACGGTGATGGTGATGAAGAGTCTAATCTTCTGAACCTCGGTCACTAAAACAAACGCAAGTTTTCCCAAGCTTCACACCACCCACCCAAACCCCTGGGGAAGGGGCTAGGCTTCCCACCCCCTTTGTACCCCACGAGAAAGGCATAGGAAGAAAAGGCTGGCCTCACCCATCTATCACAGGTGTCTCGGTCATGATCCTCTCTGCCTCCTGCCGATAATCAACTCCATAACAGAGCAAAGGGTGGGAGGCCAGCAGGGAAGCCGCCAGCAGCAGTGCGGGTGGGAGCATTCTCGGGGGGTGGTCGAGTGGACCCGGCTGCCTCCTCTTTCACGGAGACTCCTCTGAGGATCCCAAGCTTTAGCACCCGGGATTCTTGACCTCAGTGGAACTACACTATCTGGAGGTGTTGGAGAGCGACTGGCCGTCCTTTGGTTCCTGTAGCTGGCACAGCCAAGCAGGCACTCGATCCTGGGTGTAAAAGCCACCCCAAAGCCATAAAAATTGCTTGGGAGGAGCTACGGAAGAATCTCTGCAAGCTGTGGGTCACCCTGACTTTTATGACTCAGAGGCCCAAAAGAAGGCAGGGAGGGCACCTGGAACCCAGCACCCGACCGCGGAGGGATGCCCTGAAGTGACTGCCCCATCCTGTCCTTCCACTTTTCATCCTGACCATCCTGGCTGGCTCTTCTGCTTTGGTCAGCGGGAGAGAAACCTTTGTGAAACCCCACCATCTTTCTTGGCTCCTTTCAGGCAGAAGAGGGGCTTTGAAAAGTTCCTCTTCTGGAGCACAACCTATTACATACGTGGGTTGAACAGGATGACAACGGATACCGAAACTGAGGAGAAGAGCAGGCTTCCGGAAGCTGATGTCCCTTCTCCATTCCTAGGGGTCCATGTGGTATAGCCTCACCAAAGGGTTAGTCCTCTCTCAGGCTGTGCTCCTCCAGGTGGCAATGCCGAAGGAGGCCAGAAGATCCTCAACAAGGGGTCCGGCCGACTCTGGGGAATTGCCTCCTAGTGGAACTACACCTGGTCCCTTCCTTCCCTCCCTCCCTAGTTTTAAGAAGCTGCTGAAGAGGGATCTCTTTCCAGAGACCTTCGAAGGCAGCCTCTCTTGAACTCTTGCCCTAGTAGGGCCTCTCTGAGACTCAGCACTGCTGGGTTTTGTTGCTGTGGTGCTAGCATATTTCATTTTGCTTGTGTTACTTTGTTGTTTTTATATATGTACACTGCCCAGAATAGTGCTGTGCACTATTGGGGTGACAGACAGACAGACAGATAGATAGATAGATAGATAGATAGATAGATAGATAGATAGATAGATAGATAGATAGATAGATAGATAGATAGATAGATAGATAGATAGATAGATAGATAGATAGATAGATAGATAGATAGATAGATAGATAGATAGATAGATAGATAGATAGATAGATAGATAGATAGATAGATAGATAGATAGATAGATAGATAGATAGATAGATAGATAGATAGATAGATAGATAGATAGATAGATAGATAGATAGATAGATAGATAGATAGATAGATAGATAGATAGATAGATAGATAGATAGATAGATAGATAGATAGATAGATAGATAGATAGATAGATAGATAGATAGATAGATAGATAGATAGATAGATAGATAGATAGATAGATAGATAGATAGATAGATAGATAGATAGATAGATAGATAGATAGATAGATAGATAGATAGATAGATAGATAGATAGATAGATAGATGGATGGATGGATGGACGGACGGACGGAGGGAGGGAGGGAGAGAGAGAGAGAGAGGTTGCAAAATTTTGCAAGTTTGCTACCTCTGGGAGGCAAAAATCCAAACTTGCCTAAAGAGGGGAGAGAAAAAGAACACACTGACTAAAAGTAAATGCTTTAATCTGTGCAGAATGGAGACACATGGGACAAAGGAGTCCAAATCAGTGCCTCTCCGAATGGCTTTTCTACACTGTTTATATAGATGAAAACTGCAGCTACATGCATTAATCATTCTCTCCTCTAATGATTTTGCATGGTTACGGCTCCTTTGTTGTGAGCATATATGTTACACATGCCATTCCTATTCGCCAGGTGCCGCACCTTTGTGGTTCTCCCAGCCAGACATGAAGATCAGCACAGGTCGGTTTGTTGATCTCCTTCTGCAGGCTCCAGAGTGTTCCTTCCCGCCCACTTGCTTGGCTAATATTTTAACTAACTCAAAACAAGCTGATTTTTACTCCATCCAGATAGACCGGGGCTTGGTTGATTTGGTTTCTTGTCCCTGCCAAGCCAGGATACTCATGGAGGAAGCTTGACTCCGCAGGGTTGTTGTGAGGCTGTGTCGCTAATGAGGAAAGGACAACTCGTCAAGGATCCACACATTGCACTTTGCTGCAGGCCTTGGCCAGCCTCCTCTCAAGGAGAGATAAGGAATTCTGATAGCAGCAGTAAAGGAGGAGGTGGGGGTGGGAGAAAAGGCTGCTGAGAAGTTGACAGAAAAAGCCCACACAAATAAAAATGCTTCCGCTTTATTCTTAGCCATCAACTCTGCTGAAGAAAATAACTGGGGTTACCTGGACCTCATTACTGGTTTGCAAAGGCACCCCCCTGGTCCATAACAGTTCAAGCTTCCAGGCCCCAAAAATGTAGGGCCCACCACTGCTAGGTCCTTCTCAGACTAGATTACGAGAAGTTGCTTCGGTGCCCCCATTTCTGCCCCTACATTTCTGTGCCAGCAGCACGCATGCCATGAAGCACCTACTTTCCAAACTGAGTGCATGATGTGTGAGTTTTGCTCACCTCTGCAGAGCAATGGGAAATGATGCTAGCAGTGAAAGCGCACGTTATGGAGGCAGAAATAAATTGTAAAAAGTTCGGGTGCAACAGGGTTCCCCCCCCCCCATCTTCTTAAAACAATGTACAGTCTGCCTTGAACGTCATTTGGGCTGCCAAATCGCCCTTTAAAAAGAAAAAAAAAAGCCTTTGTTTGTAACTCTCAGTCACGACCAGCAACACTAAAGAGCATCAGCCGGGGCCAAGGGAGGACACGGAGAGGCAACAGCTGTTGTTGTTTTAGGACACAACTTCTTAACCACCCTGCATGGATGTTTCTCTCTTCTGCTTCATGAATCCCTGACCCAGGGCGGTGCTGCCTGGGAGCCCACACTGAACATCCGTCTGACAGACCAAAGGATGGGAAAAGTCACCGTAATCCAGTGACATCAAGTCAGTTGTGATTTAATGGCAACCTTTTAAAGAGTTTTCCAAGCACTCAGAGGCAGTTTCCCATTCCCTTCTTCTGGGGTGGGGGATGGGGACAGCACAGCTTGCCCAAGGCCACCCA